TCTTTTAGATCTTTCGCTACGCCTGGAGGCGCGCAGATGTTCGAATCGATCGACTGATAGCTTTTTCAACTGTTTCTGCCTTTATCTGCTGGTAATGCATTTCTCACAGTTTTGCTCCAATTCGGCGTGTATTTGCAGGTTGTTGGAAGCTCACTTTCTTGTTTAAACAGTCAGGCCACTAATTGCTATACTAATTATTTTAAAGAAGGCTAAGTCGAACGTTTCGCTGTTACTTGCTCCATCCAATGCATTCTACAACTGGTTTTGCCCTTTTTGGATTCTTCAAAAGAAAAAGTCGGAGCCGACATCGTCATCATCATCATTACTTATGAGTGGAAGGATTTTGGCGACGAACAAAAATAGTCATCATCATTGTACACGTTAGCTGTAGATGGAAAATACCTCGACTATTGTGCCGCAAGACAAACGACGAGAAGAGAAAAAACAACAGAGGCACGCCGGCTCAGTCCCCAGTAAGGGATGGACATCGTTCCGGAGAGCTAACGGCCGGTCATCGCGCCGCAAAAAGAGTTATATTCTACCTAATGAATGCGATCGTGATTGGAGGGGTAGGCTAAGCAGGATGTGGAGATGAACAAAGAAACTCACAACACAAACGCCATTAGGATCGACTCTTCGACATATCAGCAAGTGTGTCCAACCAGACGTGTTCATCGTCCTTAGGTCCCCAGCCAGGCAGTCGGAATACACCAACTTCGAAGTGAGGGTTTTCATTTCTCTTAACCAAGTCATCGCCTGGCCTCTCCTCTTCCAACTGCACTCCCGGCGGGAGTCGGTGTGCTGGCATGCGCAACACATGGCCCAGCCATCAGAGCCTGGTGCGTGACATAATGGTGCTGAGCGGTTCACTCGCTCTTCCTGCACCAGATACGCGACGCCGAACACACTCATTGCACGCGCGGTGCTCCCACCAGACTTGGATCAAGCTACGGAGGCAGCGATGATCAAATGTGGCTAGCCTCTTTATGTCTTCCGACCTGATGAGCCAGGTTTCACAACCGTATAAGAGGGTTGAGCAGACGGCTGCATTATGAACTCTGCACTTCAGGGACAGAGTGATGTCGCGTCTGCGCCACAGGTGGCGGAGATTGGCAGAAACACCTCGAGCATTTGGTATACGGCTCCTAATCTCAGCTTCGATACCACGGGTGCTAGTATAGCTGCCCAGGTACTTGAATTCCTGAACGACTTCTAGCTGATCACCACCAATCGTCAGCGCAGGGTGAGTCCTTGCCAATCTTAAAGAACCTTGCATTTCGATGGAGCAACGCATAGCCCAAAATGTTTGACAGCCATTGCAGCCTGGCACGTTTGCTAGCTTTCACATTTGAGTGCAATATCGTCCGCATACTCCAAGTCAAGAAGTCGCTCACCAGGAAGTAGGTCCACACCTTCTAGGTCGTGTCCAGCGAACGCTCTTTCCATAACTCCATTAATAACGAAGTTAAAGAGGAAAGGTTGCAGCGGGCAACCTTGTCTCACACAGCTGGTGATAGTGATGGGTGACGACAGTTTGCCGTAAACCCTCACCCTGCCCGAACTATGCACATACAGCACTTTTATAATGTTTACATATTTATCGCGCACATCTTTTCTCAGCAGACAGTCCCGAAAGGCACATCGATCCACCGAATCGAAAGCACTTTTGATGTCGAGAAACACGAACACAGTGGGTCGCCAATAAACATGGCGGTGCAGCCTCGATTTCGACGAAACCTGGCTTGCTTTTCACGGATCTGGTGTTCACGAGTGCCAGTCAATCTGTGGAGAACGACAGAGGCAAGCAATTTAGAGGCAATTGAGATCAGACTGATCCCTCTATGGTTGCCGCATTCCGAACGCGATCCTCCCTTGCAAATTGGGTCTATGACGGAGCGGCTCCAATCTGTCGGGACTGTTTCCTGCTTCCAAAGTTCCCTTAGCAACGCGTGTACATCGTCTACAATAGCAGGTCCTCCAAATTTGTAGAGAGCTGAGGGAATTCTATCTGTACCAGCGGCCTTATGCAATTTCAACAGTCTGATCTCACCTTTGTCTTCTGTGCGGGAGGGCGGATCTAAGGAAACGGCCTTTGGAGAAGAGCACTCAATGTCCGAAAGGAAAAACGATAACTCAGATTGGTTAAACTGCCTTGCCCTAACGTTTTGACAAGCTGTTGATCGGCTGTCCACTCTCGTCGCGTATAGTTTCGCTAACATCAGGTCTCCTGCTGCCTACTCCTCGTATCAGACAAAATAACTTACGATGATTACCAATGGCAGCGGCTGTTTCCATTTCCGATGCACGGTGAGACCACCAAGCTTCGCGGTCTCTCTTCAGGCTAGCACGCAGTTTTGCCCTGGCTTTTTTGCGAGTCCCATTATATTCGCTTCTAGCCGGAATACCACGAGCATCCATAAGTTCCAGAAACTTTGTAAAGACCCAATACCTGAGTTGGCAATTTTATTTGCCACATGAAAACGAGCCTGCTGATACTAACGTTTGACGAACATGCGACCTGTGACCTTCAGCGGTGTTCCGTGGACACTTACTCAGCCCAGATGCCAGCGTAGTTTGATACGTATTCAAAACACCTGGCTTCACCAGCGGGCTGTCGTCAATGCACTCAGATCAACATTGCGGACGTCCGTCGAATCGCACCCGCAGATCAGCACACACAAGGGCGTGATCGGAGTCCACGCTAGTGCTCCAAATCGAGTGACAGTTTTGGACATAGCCTCTCCAGCGGTAACTAATCGCGATGTGATCAATTTGTCCATGACTGACCCGAGACTGGTGCTCGCCATGTCACTGTTCTGCGAGTGCTATGTCGAAAGTTAGTTCTCGCGAGAGAGTCGAGCACCTTCACACAGGTGTTGTAATCGCTCACCGTTATCATTACGGGAACCTACACCATGTTGGCCGCCCAAATGAAGCCTATCAAAGGACAATTTTCCAACTTGCACGTTTAAGTCACCAGCAGGTACCACAATATCTGTGGTTCTTCTGTAACGAAGGAGATAGTTAAGTTGGTGACAGAAATCATCTTTCACTGAATCAGGGCGGCAGTTTGTGGGGGCGTAAGCCGCAATGACAAACAGGCACCGTTTGTTCGCGCGCGATTTCGAAGCCTGGAACGAGCCAACCAACCTAACGGCGCACATCCGGCTGTTGACAGGGATCCAATCGATCAGGACAGCTTCAGCCGGGGGACTCAAAACAATGCCAACGCCAGCTTGACCTGCATTTGAAGCTGCGTATCGCCAGACATGCGCAATGAGAATGCACCACCAGTGTCGCTTATGTGGGTCGCAGAGTAAGCACGGAGCTCGAATCTTGCAGGCGAGTTTCTGATAAGCAGCAAATTATCGATCGAGAGGGTCTCGAGTGTTCGGGCAAGTGCTGCCTGTCGACCAATCTGTAGCAATGCGTACAGGTTGAGGTATGCCAATCTTAGCGAGGATTGAGGACTCCAAAGGAAACGGATGAATTGATATCCACTTGGTTGAACATGGACTTGTCGGCTGGATTGGGGGGACGCCCTCCTATTGTGTGTGAGTTGAAGCTAGAAGACAAGCGACTATTGAAGCAGGGTGGAGGAGGGCCAAAAATTAGGGATTGAAAACGGGGGGATAAAAGTGATGTTGGAACGGGACGTTAAGGACGAAAAAGCGCACGAGGGAGAATAAGGAGGCGGGAAGGCCTGAATAGTAGCATCCATACCCCTACCCACCCTGCTCGATGGAGCAGCTAGGGCGCCGTTTATTATTCTCTGCGACGGTCAGAGCATCAAGAGATTGTTAGAAGGAGAGGTCAGTGGAACCCACAATGTAACGGTTGACGACTTACGTTTGATTCACTAAAACATTGAGATCCGCGAGCAAAGATTATCTCTACTCTTCAGTATGCCATCGCTTTGGTAGAAAGAATCCGCGAACGGCATTCCCAGACACCACCAAAAGTGAGGTCCACCTTCGTTACTGCGGGAGTCTCGGGTACAGATTTCCGAACTATTAACTGTCGTCACTGAAGTAGTGTTCGTAATGCAGTCTCTGAACACTAATCATTCAGCCTTCTTGTTTGCATCCATGGGAACTATCTAGCTGCAACCGCCAATTGTGACGCTCTGGTTTTCCAATGATGCTCAATTCATGTTTCACGCAGTGACGACATTGAGTTGGCTTTCCTGTATCATTTAAGGCAGTTAATTTCCTTCAATAATTAGATAATCACGGAAAGAAGACAAAGGCTGGTAGCTGCATTTTGTATTATCTCCTCAGTACCATTATCAATAACCTGTGCATATAGGTATAGCTAACAGTGGGTGCAACCAAACAAGCTCGAGGTACGGAACGAGTGACGGAAGTAAGAGTGAACTACAATCATTCTGCACCGCAAGCACCCGCTGTTAGCTATATCCATGCATATCAGTTTTTAAGAGACAATAGGAAATGCATGCATCTACCAGTGTCTTCTTTCCGGGCTCCTCATGTATCATACAAGTAGATGCGGTTGCCGTTTAGGTTATGTTTTGCGTTGCAATCAGCAGAACGCGAAATCCCCTTCTCCGTTTAATGAGAAACCCAGAATACATTTTTCTTGGGTCCGAAGTTTGTGCTTCTTTCATTCACTCCCTCACTCATTTCTATGAATCGTGTTACGATGCTTCACGAGGAACTGATGCATTTTTTTCTGGTGTCGAAATCCTTTGCTTCTGTTACCTGTCTCATATATCCGGTTTTGTCATTGGACTGTCCTTACTGGCGCCTACACTGCCACTAGTTATCTCCCGCGTAAGAAGTTCGTGCCAAATTTAACTCCTCGGCTTGGTTGAACCTCCATCTATTTAGGCGACGTTTTCCATAACTACTCTAATTCTACGAAATTGGGCGCTTATTCTGCCACTGATGTACATTAGTTGCTGTCGTTATCCATGTGTTTTGTGTGGTCTAGATTTTTCCCGACCCTTCTTTTCATGTGTTTTCTCATTCCACTTACAGTATCGGCGACGAAGTGAATTGTCCAAATCAACCGGTATGTGTCTCACTCGTCTCGCTCTATTTGCTCAGCTATGACCCTATTTTTCCATTCATCCCCCGATCAATACTCATTTGGCCCAGATTTCATCCCCGTTACTCTTATTTCATTGTGTTGTGCATTGAGATGCGAAATTTTTAAACAGCTCAGTAACTCACCCGCTCTTTACACTTGGCCGGCTTGTCCTTGGGGGTGTTACCTTGTCTGGATCAATCGAGACTAAGGTACAGCATTTTGTATCCTTTCCTGTGGACGTGTTATTTCCCCATGTTGAGAGTTTCATGCCTCTGGCTTCGCTTCTTCCATAGGCGTTTTCCGTCGCTTCAGGTCGCGTTTTCTAGTTGTCTGCTTCCGCCTTTTTCTCATCAAACTGGTCAAGGTCGTATGGCTAAAAATTCTCAACTGCCCATATCAACACCTTGCCTTTTTTCTTTTTAGATTCCTATTGCATTTATCTAACCCATATTGATCTCCAAGGCCACTCGCGTGAGGTCGCCTCATCCTTCAACGTCGTCTTATTTGTTTTCTCCCCATTGGTTGTGTTCTTATTCCTTTTTTTCAAAATGGAACAGTCTGTTCCACGCGCCAACCTTGATTTTTATGTTTTTAATATCGTCAGATGTACTTTCTTACTTATTACCGGTCTTCTCACGCATTAGGCTATACAACATCTTGTATACTCGCCATTGTACGTCTTGGCGCTTGTTGTGCTTTCGCTATTCCATCGTCCTTCATTGTTGCTTGTCACCACTGTGTTTGCTGCTTATAATATTTTTGCATTTCGGAGGTGACGTTTTCACTCTTGTTCGTTGCAGCGATTCTTCTCTACCTCTGTGTATTTTATTTATTTGCGGCCAGTTCTCAAAGCCCATTGTGACTGAATTTCTTAAATGAACCCTTATTCAAGACGACTACTTTTCCACTCTTTCGGCAGGGAATATGGGTTTGCCGTATCTTCTGTTCGCTCTCCTATTGTCATCTACTCATTGCACTTGATCACACGTTTATTCTACCTCTCAACGCATCTGATTACTGGAATTTGTTTCGGCTACTCACGGATAGGTGTAACCATACCTCTTGTAGTGAATGTTGCCAAGTAGCAATGTTAGTTCCTTCATGCCTGCTGCGTCTTGGCCTGTATGGTCCCCTTCCTTAGAACTGAGTACTTCGGCTATAGAAAGGTCATACGGGCACGTTGTTGCTGCGTTTCACCGAAATGTTTCAATTTAATATGCTCCATTTTAGTCCTCGGTCGCTACACGTTAACCTACATTTTTCCTTCTCATTCCCTTTGATTTTAACTTTCTTCTTCCTCATCTTCGTGCCGCTTGTTTTATCCTGTTCCTTCATGAAATGCGTCGTTGATTGGATTTCCCGTGAATGCTGACTAATTGCCACATGTTCTAACCTACCATATACTTGTGGCAGTTGACATTGTGGCTTTTCATCTTGCACCTAGCTCATATGTGACCCAATACTATATAATTTTTAGCATCACTGAGTTTCTGGATTGTATAGCACTACAATTCTATTGCCTCACGGTTAGGCGCCTTTCGATCTTTCGTTCCATGGCTATTATTTCCCGTACATCAGAATCGGTCTGCTCTCCCATCTGTTAGGTTTTATAAGCAGTTGAAATTTCAGTCGGTAGTACTCCGCTACGTTGTACCTACGCTTCGCTGCCACTCGATCACCAACATTCGGGTGCGAACTGAAAATATTGCGAGATCAAATCAAGTCACTCAACGGTTATGTACCCAAATGAGTATATTCTCATCAATTTATAACATCCACTGTGGGCGTCTTAGAACATCATCAAAGTGCTAACTTTTAAAAACTGAAATATGGCATAATAGTACAAGTGTTAATAAAATAAGCAGGCCTGATTCTGCATCCTCCTGCCGGTGCAACTACAAAGCCGGTTTTATCGATCTGGATGAGGATTCCTTAAATTACAAAACACTGGTAACTTCGCTCATTACACGCAGTATCTTAAAGTTCATTTTCAAATATCGGCGAAGTATAGCCTCAGTGACCTTGAAACTATTCTAACTGAAGAAAATGTCAAAAATCTCGGTGAAAACTGATAGATCCGCAACGGATAAAGTAACGGCCAATGAAAAGGCGATGGTCGATTTAAAGATCCCACACCTGCGCAATCTTGAACCGGTAACCTTTGAATTGTAAGACTGAAGCCTTGTTTCTTCCTCCATTGGCTCGGGTATCGCCGGTCGGAAAGTTAAGGTGCTCTTTTTGTAATCCGACAGTCACCGGTTCTAATCTGCGTAGTTGTGGGCGGCATCGCAATATGCCCAACCTACGCGCAACCGGGGGTAGTCACGTGGCTGCGGAGCGTCAGTGCGGTGTGCCGGCTTTCTGTTTATGCCTTAGTCTTTTGAAATTTTACTCTTGGATAGTCGCTACAGTGCTGCAGACGCAATTAGCTTCCTCTCGTTGACCTTGCTCACTATTTCAGGTGCAGGACTCTGCATTCACCTTAAATAACCCACATGAACCGTCAGCAATGTATGCGTAAACGGATTAGCTCCTGAATCCACTTACCATGGTGAACAGATTGCTCTTTGTCTTGTTAACCGTAAGCGACAATTCCTCATTGTACTGTTAACGGACCCTCGTCGGTGGCCAGCCCAACTCGAAGCCAAACTACCACTTTTGCGCCTTTAAAACTCATCAAAACGGTTTTATTCGTTCTATGAACTAGACCTTTTGTCTGGCGCCTTGGTCCCGCTTATCCACTTAGTCTTCTATCGTTTGACGTGTCAAAAATCTATCTTTCGTTGGCGATCGATTTTTTCGACAAAATATGGTCAGCGTACACTTTAAGCTCTACGGAATCTTACGTTTTGGCTTGAAAAGATTGCTTTTAAACAGCGATACGTCGCGACTGTTTTCATGAAAATTCGCTCTAGCGGTAATTAGCACTACTCGTTGACTATGGAACTAGGTGCGCCAACACTGTGTCCCGTTCGGGATCACACCGAGCTTCATTGAGTTTGTAAAGTTCATTCATTTTATCTACTTGCTTCCGTTATAATGACGATCAAGTTTATTAGCTGACTAAGCGGAACGCATTCTCATGCATGGCGTTACTGCACTAGACCGTGCCAACAGTTTGGACATGCGTTACGCCAAACATGTGATCAGATGACCAGTGGCGGAACGCAAGTACGATATGGGTGACTGGCAAAATCGAGTACGCGTCGGCCCTATGAGCACCGATCGTATCGACGAGGTTGTACTCTGACGTACAATCAGCCGAAGTCGGATAAGAGTCGATTGAACAGCGGTCTAACCCTGGCGTAAACAGATGGCCAACTATGGTAACTGAGGCAAAACGGAATGCGTTCACATTGGCTGAGACAGATGACGAGAGGCTCATGGTTCCCATAATTAAAATTTTGGTTGACCTATAAATAGAACCGTTCCTTTTCACAGAATACCCACCGTCTACTGAGTCTTGACCTTTGATTTTATGGCGAATTGGACACCAGACACAGCGGACCGCAGGCTGCGCAATTCAACATAGTTTACTCAATTCCATCTATCTTTCGTTCACCGTCAGCTGGCAATGTTGCAAGCATCCTTTGAGAGGCATCGTCTATAATCCACGAATAGCACTTTTTCCGCTCTACTTTTTTACACGAATCAAGAGAATCATCCATTTAGCGAGTAAGTTTTCTAGTTATGGAGTAGGGTACAATTGTTCTAACTGCACTGCAACCAGTTTGACAGTATAGTAGATAAACGCTTACAACGTTTAAGTGAATCCGCTGTACTCCGGATCACGTAAGTTGGATCATCTTAGTTCCCGAGTAAACTTTGAGAGACCTCACGATCAATGCTCAATTCAAGGCCTATTTTGATCTGTTCAAATTGAGCACAGACTTACTGCGAATGACAGCTTTAATAAAATCGCGCTTGGTAATTTATGCTGGACATCGAACATGCAAATCCATGGCTAGACGCCAACTAGAGACACGGATAGCAAACTTCACTAAGTTCTTAAATGGTGAATCTTGAAGCAAACTATTACCCATATAATGGTTTAACTCTAGTCAGGGTTATCGTTTGATACCTCGAAAAGGTGTCTTGTTCTCAAATGGGGTCACTAGCATCCGTTCGTTTTGAACTCAGGATTCGCGTCTAGTACTCTTGTATCAAATCAACGCCGCTATCACATCGAGCAATTTTTTGCTTGTTACTAATAGTAGTAGAATGATTTCTGACCAAATCACGCAGTATAAAAACAACCATTAATATGAAACTATAACGCTACTAACCGAAGCGCATACTCTGTCTGTTCAAACCTTAGAAATCACTTGCCGTATTTTCCGGACGATAAGGCGCACCGGATTATAAGACGCAGTATCAGTGAACGCCTCTACTTTCATATATAAGGCGCATAAAGCGAAACAGAAAAGTCGGATAGGTCAGACTTAATTCAATTCAATAACTGTTAATATTGCCCGCCGTGAAGCGGGAGAAAAGGGTCTCCGCTTGGTAGGTTTTCTTGTGATGAGCCGGCGGTCCAGTTCCGCCCTACCAGAGGCGATTCTGGTGGTGCACAATCCCGGACTCACAATTCTAAATCCCTTCAGGTGATCTTAAGCAATGTGCGTAGCCTGCGAAACAACCTGTGCGAAGTCTACGCCCTCGTCGATGACTGCCATCCAGCTGTTCTCGCATTCACTGAAACGTGGTTGTCCACTGACGTCACGGACAGTGAAGTGTGCTTGCCAGGCTACGCACTGCCGAAGTGTGACCGCACCTCCGATCGGCGCGGAGGTGGCGTTGCTTCGTATGTTAACTCCGTAGTTACTGTCTTCAAGACGTATAGTTTCCGGTCACTAAACGGTACTGTTGAAGCACTCGCAGTCATCCTGTGTATTGCCTCCGTTCAACAAAGTTGTGCTGGTCTATAGAAGCCCCGACAGCGTTGCTAAGGGTCTCATTGATTTCATCCGTGAACATTCGGCGAATAGGTGTTTAGTGATGGGGGACTTTCATCTTTCCGACTTTGACTGACAGAGTTTTTCCTGCTACACTGTTACAAGGTGTTTGGCTACCAACCTCGAGCTGGCCTTGCATGCACCCATGCATCAATTTGTCGACCGGCCCACTGGATTCATGATGGGTCAAAACCCGTCCCACTTGCATTATTGTCACGGATACTGTATACAACCCACCTCTCGGTTCTAGCGACCACACATGTCTCTCATTCAAGTGCGCCCTTAGTCGTCAGACTAATGATCGTCCCGACCGAGTTCAAAACATATGGCCCGCGGACTTTCAGGCAATGAAAACCAAGGCCGCAAACTCGCCCTATGTCATTTTGGAAAGTGACAACATTCGAATGACCTGGGACAGATTTAAATTATACTTGATCGAGCTCTCTCTCCCCCATATACCATCGTCTGGCAGAAATAAAACTAGGGAAA